CCTCTCTCCCCCTGCCGGTCCTTCCTAAAGAGCCTGTGTCCTTCCATCCCAACACCCCAGTCACAGGAGCCGTCCCACCACATCTCCATGATGCCAGTAAGATCATAGCCCTGCAGGTGTGTGCAGATCTCCAACTCCTCCTCTTTATTCCCCATGCTATGGTTGTATGCGTAGAGGCATTTCAGTTGGGCCCCGATGAAGCTGACTGACTGGCTGGAGTGGCTGGGATTCCTTTGTGCTGCACTTCAGGGGCTCTCCTGCTGACCTGACACTGGACACCTAAGCAGACTGTTCATCTATCCTTTCTATAGTCTCTGGTTACAAGAGCCCCATGGCAACAGGCACAAGGAGATACACAGATCCTGCAGTGCTCTGCTCTTTCTGGGTCTGAACATTAAAATGTCTTTGATAAAGTCAAATCTGGAATCAGATGGTTCAGTGTAGGTTCAGGATACGCCTCTGATATTTTTAGGTTGCTAGAAATGTTGCCAAAGGGGGGTCAGGCCTCTAAAACACTGGAACATCCTGTTACGCCTGCATGACACACAGGTCATCCTTCTTAAAAGCCCTCCGTCTTTCCCATCTCCCATTTATTTTGCCTCATCTTTACAAACTATAACTAGACGGCCGGTACTACTGATGTGACATTGATACAAGCAGGGAGAAACAGGTCCAGTGCTTCAGAAATAGTATTTTCAACGGGAATTAGATGCCACCAGCTATCATACCTCAGAGGATCTAGGTCTGAAATACCCTTCCCCTTGCAGAGCAGTACACTCAAAAGGAGGAAGGGGCCAGACACAGAGAAACACTCACAACCCACCTCCTTGACCCAGACTCTCCTCTCTCTCCTCTTGTTTGTCAAGCCCTGTCATGGTATTTTTCAGCTACATCTTCTGTCATAAGATTATAGGATTTTAGGGTAATTCAGGGAGGAAGGGACCTCCAGTGGTCTCCAATTTAATCTCCAGCTCAAAGCTGGATCAGCCATGAGATCAGTCAAGGTTGCTCAGGGTTTTATCCAGTCAGGTCTTGGAACCCTCCAGAGATGGAGACCATGCAGCTGTCCTGAGGCCCATGTGGGAACAGCATTCCCCTCCCCAACAGATCCACCTCACAAAGCCCCATCTCTTCCCCAGCAGTGCTCCTGCACCATATCCCCGGACGTGGTGCCGACGGCACTGCAAGTCTGTATCTCCTTCATGGGATAACTGAGGAGGATACTATGCTGAGAGGGCCACTCGCAGCCAGGGAGATCACTCTGACTTTCTCTGTTGATAGCAGGATTTTCATCGGGGCCTGACTTAAATCATTAATTCACAGCTCTTGGGTTGTTTAAAGAGCTGCGATAATGGGCTGAGAAGAAATTACTATCCATTTTCTCTTGGCAGGACTGTAACGGCATGACATGGCACCCGTTGAATTGAGGAAAGAACAGGGGTAATCTTCAGAATGAGAGAAAGACAGAAAATCTACCCAGAAGAAACCATGACAGAAGATTCCTCCACATATACAAACACAAAGAGGTCAATTTAGATTTAGTTTTTTTAACGTGTCTTTATTGCTTAAGGACATTTGGCGAGATAGCCATAACATAAACCTCACGTCCAGCATTACTTGGCAACACATTTCCTAGCTGGAAAGAAAATAAATTGGATTTTTTTCTTTGTGCTAATGCCATATTTTTTGGATGCTATTTTGGAAACTAATCAAGAGGTGGCTGCTCAGCATGCCTCTTCATTCTTGATGGCTTTTTAGTGCAAAAGAGCCAGCAGCAACTTTCTGAAGTCCCCAGAGGTATCGGATCGGACAGCTTCAGCTAACGACTTCTTGTACGTTTGCTGGAACTTCTCCTTTATTGCTGGCAGGTCACTCTGAGGAGACACCAAGAGCCTCTTTAGAAGACTGGGACGTGCTTTGAGTAATATGTCCTGCTCCTACCAGGACCCCTGGGGTCTGATCCAAGGTCTACTGCACCCGGTGGTAGGAGGAGAGGAGAAAGCAGGAGGTCTAAAAGCTTGGAGGACTTTCAGATTAACATTTGGATTTGAGATAAGTCCATGTCAGATGGCGTGATGAGGGAACGCTAGCTGTGAAGAAGGGTATGGGCCTGTGTGGAGAGCCGTGCCAGGGCGCCCAGGGGAATCTCTGCCCAGTGCTCAGTGGTGCCATGTGGGAACAGCCTTGGTACTGGACAAACTCACACAGGCTGCTGTGAGCTCCTGAGGCCACTCTGTGGTGGCAAGCAGGGAAAGA